ACGTTTAAAAGGACGATAATTAGGGCCTTAAAAGTTAAAACTAAGGAATTCATTGTTCGAAGTAGTCTTGTCATTTCGATCTAAAATGGGACGATCCGTGTTACACTTACCTGAGGATATTTATTTATCATAATGTAAAATAACTTAAGAGCAACAATGACAAATGAGAAATCTAACAACCTAAAAAAACACGGGAATTTATGCGACACTAATCATTTTTTTATCACTTGTTGGTCAGAAGACAACATTTCCGTGCAAGATTCTAGCTCACACTAGCAAATTGCTTGAACAGGTTGAATAACGAGATCCTGAAAGGAGGGATTCTCCGCAATTTTTTGGCTCATTCATTACCAGCACTCCGAATAAAAATCTTTCAAAATTCTTTCGATCTTAACAGAAACTCGAGGCTTGCATGCATGTTCAAAACATCTTTCAGAATTCATTCGTCAAGGGGGAAAAAAAAATTGTTTTGGAAACACGAATTTGATAGTAACCAGAACCCAACCAACTTCTAAATCAGGGTTGAGGCGACACGGGTTAGGGAGGTACCAAGAACAGACCCATCATGGGAGACCAAAATATATTGCACTAGCACCAATCACAATCTGGTACTTAAATTCATCAAAAAGGTCTCCGGGTAGGGTTCATCTTCATACACATTTGTTGAACACACAAGTGGAAGCTCACACCAAAAACCAAATCCGTAGACCCAATACTAGCTAATGTAAAAAACAGAAATTATAAAAAACAATAACACAAACAAGGTGATATGCGCACACAGGAAGAACAAGTAAAATACTCTAAAAGAAATTCTAAGAATTAACATTCCAAAAGGTGACACTTCTATTGGCTCGAATGCTGAACAGCTTCTATAATTTGAATGTCTGAATCGCGCATATTACATCAGTGGGGGGGACAAAAGAAAAGGAAACAAAAACTCCCTCGCATCATATTTCAAACAAAGCCTTCAAAAACAGGCATCAAAAAGGTCCCCAATCAGCGGTACTGCAAATCAGAAACAAACACAAATAAGAATCACCTCGCTTAATAAATGAATTCGGCAACAATAATGCAGATTGGTCTTGGGAAATGATACATCAAAAGATTAAATGGGAGAAAGCTTTCGTATTTGCTTCCTTTTATTCCTCTTTACAAAGCGAGGAGGGTCAAAGGCTCAAATAATTCTCACCTTGAATAATGCAGATTGGCCTTGGGAAATGACACATCAAAAAATTAAATGGGAGAAAGCTTTCCTATTTGCTTCCTTTAATTCCTCTTTACAAAGCGAGAAGGTTCAAAGGCTCAAATTCTCAAGGGCGAATTCAACCAGTGACCCATTCATAAAAAAATAATCCCACAACAAATCCTGGCCAGTTCAACTTAATTCCTGCTTTTTTTTCATTTCAACTTACCGGATGCATCAAACCAAACACTTCACTTAAGGAATATTTAAATTGCACTATAAGAACTTACCAATCTAAAAGAAGAAGGCATTTCAAAAGGCAGATAATACAACTAAACAACTGTATAAGCCAACAAATAAACGTAAAATAAAAACCAACGAAATTAACAAATGTTTCTGAACTCTTACCTTGATGAAGCCTATTTCCTTGGCATTGCTGCGGAAGCACTGCCTACAACACATCAGTCCATACTTCCTGATTATCCCATGTGGGTTTCCACACACCCGGCTGTCAACAAGGAGATTCCAATCAAAATCAATAACTAAATACAGTAGGTAAAGTTCTGTACATCGCATCAATAAACATAAAATTCACTCGGGAAAAAAATTTCTGCCCACGCAGCAACTAGAGAACTTGTGAAAAAAAACTTGAACTGCAATGGATTAGCATCAATTTTTCTAGCAATACGGAACAAAGAAAACAATGCAATCGAGCAATAGAACAAGGTTTAGATTCTGCATAAGATTCACTGGCCTTAGCTTCGTCAAAAAAATAAGAATTCCATGAGTTGTTATTTCTCATTCAACAACTATCTAACCGAAAACAGATAACATGCAGATATCGAACCCAAAATCAAATAGAAAGTAGAAACAACATGGAAATCACCAGATCAAGACGACGATAGAGAGATGATAGGTTTGAAGAAATACCAGGTGCGAGATCCAGGACCGTAGTTCTTGGGATGCGAGTTCCAAATATTTGAGTGCCCCATTTCGTTCCTTTAATCGACGGAGAAAAACCTAACTCGCTGCGCCGCTCTTAAGTGCCACTAACCCGAACCGTGATTTCTTTGAGGCGGAAAGAGATAGGCTTGCAGTTTTATAGGTCGAAGGCGGACCCGCGTGATTTTTTGTTCTTTTTTTTGTCTACAATTTCGTTGTTTTTCTCCTGGTTCTACTAGCTAGCTGATTTTGATTTTTTTTTAATATTTTTTTATATTATAATATATTATAATGATATTTTTATTTTTTAAAAATTATTTTTAAATTGATGTATTAAAATAATTTAAAAATACTGAAAATATATAAATTTAAAGTAAATAAAAAATAAAAAATTATTTTTAAAAATTATTTTTAAACTATAAAAATAAATAGATCATCAATATTAAAAGACATAGATTCATCAAACCTGGAAATTCCAAAATGTCAAATTTTAATATTTAATAGGAAAAATTATATCTAACAGCATGTATATTTGCTTATTAAAGTTAAAAAATTACTTTTTATATTTTAAATTTTATACTACACTAGCATTTAATATTCTAGAAAAAATTTGATAAAAAATTGAATTATTTATAACTTTACTGCTATTTTTTAGTTAATAACTAAAAAAAAAATTAAGTGTTTTTAATTTAAAAATATATTAAACTAATATTTTTTAATTTTTTTCTTATTAATATATTGAAATGATCTAAAAAATTAAAATAAAATTATTTGAAGTAAAAATAAAATAATTTTTTTTATTTTTTTAAATACTTTTCAAATGCTACGGGCTATAGAAATGCAAATAACTTGATATTGCAGCTATCGGAGATCACGTGGCAGTTAATTTGAAAGGTTCGATAACATAAGCTATCACTCTTATTATTGGCTAATTCTGCAAGGCTTTGGTTACTAGGTTCGTAGGATTCCGCTAAAAAAATCATCTCCCAACATTTTAATTTTGAGCTTGGCTGTATAATAACAAGCGAGAAAAACAAACGATTTTTCTTTCCTTTTTCTTTTTTCTTTTTTGGTTCACGAGGAAATATTGTTTTTCTACCTATATCTAGTGTGGCTTCTATTTGTACACTGGTGCGGGGGGAGTGGCTCTGGCTTTTTTGTTGAAACTGTCGAGGCTCTGGACATTGATTCTTTAGAGAAGATGGGTCATGATCGATCTTCTTTCTTGCTCGCATGACGGAGTATCCCACCAAAGATGAAAGAAAATAATTAGGAATTAAAAAAATATTAAAATTAAAAGATAAGAAAATAGACATCAAAAGATGAAGACTAGAATTGAATTGTAAAGTAAATTAAGTAAAATGTCGACAGGCAAAATAAAAATAAATAAATCAAGAAAAGTATAAGAAGAATACAATAAAAAAATTAAATGAAGTAAAATGATAAGGAATGAAATTAAAAAAACTTTTTTTAAAAAAAAAATAAGAATAAAATTGATAAAAATAGAAACTGAAAGATAAATTCAGTTCTTGAAATAGTTGACATGAATTTTTAGAATAAAAAAAAGAGAAAGAATAAAAAAATCACTAAAACCCAACTACATTTTCACTATATACATGCACTTTATCAAAAAAAGAAAAAAGAAAAACAATGTGCCGCTCTAAATGCTATCATGAACAAATGATTTTGGTAATTATATCGTCTCACATGCATTAACCAGTGCATTGTATATATCATCAATTTTTTTAATAATATTTAATTTTTTAAAATTACTTAACAACCTCTGGTTCAACCCAAAAATAACATAAGAAAAAACAAAAAAAATACTCTTATAACAATGAATATAATTTTTTAAAAAAATTTTGAGGGCAATACCGTAGCTTCATTGTTAAAAAATAAAAACACAAAAAGCCTTCGGTGCAAGTTTAATGGTTTGTTGGGGTAGTACAATAATTTTAATGTGCAAATAATAGTAAAAAGACAAAAAAAAAAATTAACCAAAGCCATGTGTTTTTTCTTTTAAGAATAACAAAGTCATTTAACGGAGAAAAAAAATATGCGTGAAACATTTTATCCTCAATCAATATTACAACGTCTAATGGATGTTATTAAAAATCCTATTTTACCTTTAATTGCAAGTTTTATTAATTTTGATGAGAAAGACAAAAACATCATTATATTTTTTCAATAAAGAATTTAGAGTGTAGTAAAACAGTAGTTTTTTTTTTTTTTTAATTCAATCAAAGAACTCAATTGGTATATAAAAGTTTCTCCTGCGTGAGCAATGAGATTGGCTGGCTATAGAATCATTTCAGGATTATTCATTTGGTCAGCTGATTCAAAATCCGATGCTAAAGGATGATCGCACATTTTTATAACTTTCCGGTCAACTGGATCTAATCGCATATGGTTTCCGTCGACGAGAGACGAGAGGATGAATGATGCCACCAGCTATCAAAATCCTCTTTTTTTTTCTGCTGGAATCCCCACTTCCAGATGCTCACCTTGTCCCAAATGACACAAATTAGACTCGAGTTAAAAAATCAACTAGAACATGTCCCACACAGAAGCAAATCAAAAGATCGGCCCATCACAATTTCTAAAGGCAATTTAGGGCGCAGCCATGTTTTTCAATCAGAATGGGGTGGTAGCTAGAACCAGGACTATAGTTTCGACCTCTGAACCGTTAAAGTCTAATTTAAAAAGACCCATCTTAATTATTCAAGCCACTTTCAGCGAATCACTCCATCATCTGAGCGTGCCAATCAATGCCTTAAATAGACTTTCTTCACCAATCTTCTCTCCGTTTGTAAGAATATCTAGCTATCTACACAACCAGTCCGATTCCAATCACCTCAAAGAGACTCATGCTAGATGGAAACAAAAGGACGATGATACAATGCAGGTCACTCATAAATGACAATAGCACAACAGCATGGAACGCAATTTATATAGCCGCAAAAACATCGTTTATTCCGCTGGAGATGAACACATAAAGATAAAGAAGAGATGGAACATATCCACACGGCGGGGCGGAGGAAAGGGAGGATATCTTGTACATGGAGCCTTCCTTCCTCTTTTATTGTGAGAAATTACTGGTATCCCAAACGCAATCATCCGGATAACTGTTGTCTGAGAAGTCTTTCCTCGTCTTCAAAGAGATGATAAGAAAGCCCGCTCAAGATATGGAGGTGCACCTAGCCCAGTGAAAACAATCCCACAAGGATTTGTTTTCGCGCTTTCTTGAGAATTGAACAGTTTCAGTTTCATTTCTTCTCAGCATCTTCCACATTACATGCACATCAGCGTACTCACAAGCTCTTACATCATGCCGTAGCTTCAGTAGTCCTGTTTTTGATTCAAAACATTATTTTCAAAAATGAAATCAAACATACTTGGTCCTAAGAAAAATCAATTTCCAAAACCATCACGAGAAGGGGAACTAAACTCTATATCACTAGCTGATGTCTATGTTAATGAGTACAATAAAAAAAAAAAAAAGGAAATTGGTTCAAATCTGAGTTATGCCTCATTCTCCCTGATAATAATGCGCAGGCTCATTTCCACGATAACAGGCAGGGGAAGTAATGAAAGGGGGACAGATAGACAAATACCAGTGAGTGGGGAGATACTAACCGCGTTTGCGAATCCAAAGACGCAAAGCGATGCCGTTCCAAACTCTTCGCAGCTTATCACACAACCCCATGGTGGAAGTTTTTCCGCCCTCCCTCCCTCCCTCCCTCCCTCCCTCCTAGGAGAGATACTATAGAGAGATCAAGAACGAACGAGCTGATTTTACCACTGCATCAAAATACCAGTGCAAAATTATTCTTAATTTAATACTCTTAGCTACCGATCAAAAACAAAAAGAAGCAATTGATTGCTGATTATTAAAATAAAACTAAAGACTTCAAATTCGAATCGGAAGACTAAGACTAATAAATTGTTATTGCGAATATTAATTACCAGCATTAGGAATATGTAAAAACCTCCTCTCTTTGCTTCCCTGTTCTCTTTCCCAACTCTCCATTCCTGAATCACCCAAGTTAATATCGCTCTCCTCCGCTGACGCATCACTTCTCCATGTGTGCCACGTGTCTGTTGGACGTGAAGATCCTAACGTTGTTTGAGGGAGACCTGGTGGTTGGTTTGTTACCACGTGTACTACAACAATAGGAGGTCCATTCTTCGAGATTGTACGGCCATGTGATCGTGTTATTCTCTGTGGACCGAGACCTTGCTTGCCCTCCTCAAGCTTTTCCAGGTGCCACGTTGATGCTAAAGGTTCAAGCGCGTTTCTTGTCTTTGAGGAGGGGCAAAAAAAATTGCTGCGTGTTGGGAACGCACGAGGTGAAGGAAGTGAGATGTCTGTGTGAAGGCTACTGCTTTAGTCAGTAACGTGGCATTCTAGCATTAGTTGGTCGGAAAGATAATGTCACCAGCGTACGGTGGCAGGCGAGACCCCACCACGGTTGATCGAGGGTGATTTGCATCTACACGATGAGCATTTTGATAGTTTTATACATGGAAGGTTCTGATTTTTTTTTACAGGGCCAAATTGGAATCAGATTCACGTCCAAACAAATACGACACTCACTTCCTTCACCTCGTGCGTTCCCAACACGCAGCAATTTTTTTTGCCCCTCCTCAAAGACAAGAAACGCGCTTGAACCTTTAGCATCAACGTGGCACCTGGAAAAGCTTGAGGAGGGCAAGCAAGGTCTCGGTCCACAGAGAATAACACGATCACATGGCCGTACAATCTCGAAGAATGGACCTCCTATTGTTGTAGTACACGTGGTAACAAACCAACCACCAGGTCTCCCTCAAACAACGTTAGGATCTTCACGTCCAACAGACACGTGGCACACATGGAGAAGTGATGCGTCAGCGGAGGAGAGCGATATTAACTTGGGTGATTCAGGAATGGAGAGTTGGGAAAGAGAACAGGGAAGCAAAGAGAGGAGGTTTTTACACATTCCTAATGCTGGTAATTAATATTCGCAATAACAATTTATTAGTCTTAGTCTTCCGATTCGAATTTGAAGTCTTTAGCCTTAGATCATCGACAATCACGTATAGGACAATCCAAAACATCAAAATTTAAATTTGATTATTCTTACATGATTTAAAAGCAGGAGGGACATGAATTTTTCTTAAGATACTAGAGTAGCACTCATCGAGTCACCTTTTTAAGTTTGGAAAGCATGGCAAGTAAATTCTCAGCGCCTATAGACGGGCATCCTCCATTAATACCAGCCATCAAATATCGATACTCACCTGAGGTGGTACCGTAGCAGTCATCAAGAATGCCATAGTGTAAGAGAAATATAAACAATTAAACTAGAAGCCAAAGGGCCTCCGAGCAAGTCAGCACATCTCCTATCCATAAAGTCAGGGATGTTGAGTGAAACGAGTGAGAAGCCATCCTCAGTCCTAACGTGAGGTCGAGGTCCTTTTCCAAGGAAGAACTGAACGCTGGACAAAGAGAAAATTGAAAAAAGTAAGGAGAGAAAAGACAAGTTATGAAGACAGGAAGAAAATGGAGTTAAAAGAAGAAGAAGAAACAAAGGGAATTAAGAGAATGTTTTGGAGTGTGGGTGAGGTTTTTAAAAAAAGAAATATTCGTAAATATATTAAAATAATATTTTTAAATTTTATTTATAACTTTATCATATAGAACAATTTAAAAATATAAAAATATAATTTAAAACAAAAAATATTCAAAATATGTTGAGAGAAACAAAGTAAATAGCTTTTATCAAAGTATAAAAACACCCATGATAATGTTGAAAGTTATGTTTAAATAGTGAAATTCTAAAACAAACAACAATTAGGTCAAGTTAAAATAAATAAATAAATTGAAAGTCATTAGTTTTTTATTATACAATAAGACATAATTTATTTCAATTAGAACAATAAAATGATTGTTTTTCCCTTTCCTAACAAAATCATTTAATTAGTTATTATAGACAAAATCATATTTTTCATAGGGTATATTTGTTATTATTATATTGATGAGGTACATATTATTCTTTTTACATTTTAGATGTATAATGAAATGACTTGAGTACCTTTAAAAACAAAAATAAAAATAAAAATGGGATCTAGGGGCTTTATAATATTTTACTGCTTTGGTTGTATAGTCTAATAACTAGATTATCCTTAAAAGCATAAAAATTAAATGTTCATAGGCGTTTTGATCTTGTTATCATGGTTTTTTAGTTATAACTAATTTAAATGAGGGGGCAATTCAATCTTTTACTAAATATAAACATAATTTTAAAAAAATAAAAGTGGATAGTGCGTACTATACAAGCGGTAGCGAATAAGAGGTGTCCATGCTTTTTAGAATACGTATGTGTTTCCTTACTATGGTTAAATATCACCTTTCATGATGATGATGGAAATATCATGATGTCTTTTTTCTAATGGTTAGGTGCGTGTGCATGACATAGTAGCGGTTGGGGTTATTATGACTAGAGTAACATAAATGATACTTATACTAGTGACGTCCTTGATGAACTTGCTTAAAATGATTATTGATGTAAATTTTACTAGTCTTTGGGTGCCTTATTGGTTCATCTCTTTTAGATAGGTTAGTTATCTAGGTTTGCATAAGTTATAATTCTCCTTTAATGGTTCTAAAAGTATCATTAAAGGTTGGGGTCATGATAAACATAGATTCAAGGTTGGACACTAGATGATAATAATAAATGCATATAACACTAGTTTAAAGATGAAATTGAGATCTCAAATGCATCTTACAAGTAAAAATGAAATAAAAATAAAGTTAACTCTATTTTTAAAAAATAAAGAATACTCAAAACCAAAATACACTAAGACTTTTTTGTTAGTGGTGTGTTTCTCTAATTATGATTGAAAATTATATGGGTTGTTGCATTAAGAAAATGATGTGAATGGCTATTTTAATGAGTCGAATGGTAATAAATGACTAATCTAGTTATGGGTTGAGTGATGTGGTTGTTTTTTTTGGCATTGATCGATTTATAATTGTTTATAGTTAAGATTGAGAGAAGGGTTTGCATGGTTGATTTGACCGATTCTTTCTAATTTGAAGGGGTTGACTAAAGTGGTTAGATGAGCTATTATTTTCTAGTGTTACAGTTTCTAATAATAATGATGACTGTTATTACCTAGGCGTTATTGTGGCCTAGTTCATTAGTAAAAGAACCATAAATAAGAGGTGGATATCAAATGAGAAGGATGTTAGTTGATGACAACACTGTTATTTCTAACAAAAATAAGCATGATTAATGGTGATTATAGATTATAGAGGTTGGTGAGTATACTGTAACATGGTGGCTAATATGTTTAGATAGAAAATGAATAATGGTTAGGGTTTTGGGTGTGTTTTAGAGCATGTTTAGGTAAGGTGTATAAGAGTTTATATATATATATAAAGGCTTTTCATAAATTCTAGGTTTTAGAAAATGTGTTAAATTTTGAGAGTTTAAACAAGTATTTTAATGGATCATTTAATTATATAAATAATTAAAAGCCTTGCTCTGATACCAAAGATGATGCCAGATAAAGTGAAAATTAAAAAAGCTTACTACAATGTGAAAAATTATATTTAAATAGTAAACCCTATAATATCAACAATTAAGCCAAAAGCCCACTAAAAAATAAATTGAAGTCCAAAATAGAATAACATCAAGCCATAATAGATCTCAAATAAAAGTACAAAGAAATTAAACATAATAACATAGGCTAAGGACCAATCCACGAGTTAGAATATTCTTTATTATATATGATCATATACGTGTATGAACTATGTCTTGAGTTTGATTTTCCTAAAACAAACAACAAAGCAAACATGTTAGATAAAACCACTTTTGGTTTAAATTATCATGTTGTAGCAATAAAATCTAATGCTTTCAGTTGTTTATGGTTATGTTAATTAGTTAAGTAAATAAATCACTTAAATGAGCAATAAAGCTCCATGAAAAACTCATAACAACTCTAAAATTTAAAAAAAGTTGTGCATAGTATGCTAGCAACCGATAATAGCTATAAAAATAATAAACACTCACTAATATCAAACAAATAGAGCCATGCTAAAAGCCAAAATAATCCAAGTAAAGGGATTCATATCCAGATGAGAGCTCTAACATTACTTTTAAATATTTAAACAAATAAAAAATGATTAAAAATTGACCAATAATAGCCTCTCCATAACCTTGTGGTGGTAAAAAAAAAAACCAAAAGAAATCTATAAGAGTCAAATATAATATGTCTTTTAAAATACTATAGCCATAGAACATTATAGTTATAATAAAATGAAAATTGTGTTTACCTTGTAAAGTTGCATTATAGGATAAAGAACGAATTTCATTAATAAGTCCATAAACCACTTGTTTTATAAAACTTTTCTTGAAGTAGCCAATATGTTATGATTTGGAAGAACTTTTAATATAAAATTGAACCAAAGATGTTGCGATGGCTTTAAAAATAGCAAATCATATCCATCCATTTGTAATGTTTTTAATTTAATCAAAAGAACTAGATGATGACAACAAAGTTATTTTCACAAACATTCAGTATAAGCAATCAAAAAACTTAATTTTCACACACTAACACACATAATATTATAAAATAAGATCATGTACTTAAATCTATAAATAAATCAAAAAGATACTATGCATAGCTAAAATTATAAGCTAGTAAACCCGGTAACATAAAAGAGAAGAGCAAGTATCAATTTAAACATATACTTTGATGGAAAAAAAGAGTAAACTAAATAGTTTCATTTTTAACCTGTGATTATACCTCATAAATATTACATAATAACACCCAAAACTAAAATTGCAAGCCAAAAAGATTGTGATAAATGATTAAAGTTGGATAAAATTACAATGATGATTAGAGTTTCGACATTTATTAAGGTTAGTACATAGATAAAATCATAGAAAAAAATAAGTTTCAGTATATTTATACTATACAATTAAATCTTTAGATAAAAGATATAAAACTCTATTTTACAACCTTAACACCCAAAATGAGATAGAATAGATTAAAATGACTCATCTATCACTATGTCAATGTTATATTCATAACTTGAGTTGTTAGTAGATGGAAATCCTAATAATGGGATTCATTATCACCATAAGTAAACAACATCCTTCTCCTTCAAATATATTTATTAGTAGTTGGAATCCAAGTTGCTCCCCCTTCCCTCTTTGCATCTTAAATACAAGTTATAAAGACTTAAATGCCCTCGTCAATTACATGAACATATTCTTTTTGCATAAAAAATGAATAAACTTGCATTTCATCAAACATAATCTATCCCTTTTAGTATAGGTATATAGAAATTGAAATTGAACTATAATAAAATTAAAGAAGTTGAGGTTTAATACCTAATAGTGGAAGTTTTGGTGACAATTAAATACGATTCTAGCTGATTCAAATACCATTCTATAAACTTAACTTTAAATTTAGAACTTGAATAGGATGATCTTGATGTTGAAAATGGGTGTGAAAAGGGATGATTTGTAGACATACAAGTGATGTATGAGGATTTTTAAGGAAATATTTTTTTTTCTAAGGTATTTTTCCTATTCAATTTAAAAAATTAAATATTATACTTGATAGTTTTATTTTTTGTAATTTGCTAAGGACTTTCATTACTTTTCTTTTATTTTTAGGTTTTGTAGTTTATTTAGGTTGTATTTTTGAGTTTATTTAAGAAGTTGTAAAGTACCTTGTTTTTTTTTCCTTTGCCTTAGGTTGTCTTGTAATACCTTTTACAACTTAGCTTGCAACAATGCATTGATCAACTCGAAGTGCAACAAAAGCAAGCCCAACTACAAACCTAATAGCAATAACAAAAGCAATAGAAATCCATGGATTTGTGATAAGTTTCTTGTAAAAGAAGAAGAAATGGACAAAAACAACAAAAGAAAGATAAAAATAACAAACAATACAAAATTTTACCTCATAGAGCGGTGTCATAAACAAATCCTAATCCTAAATTTTATTTCTTACAAATTCACCACATCAAGTAACTTTTATTTAAAAGGTTTACAACTCCTCAAATAAACTCAAAAAACAATATAAATAAACTTGAAAATAAAGGAAAGACAACAAAAGTCCTAAAAAGATTAGAAAAAATAATATGTTAAACTAAATAGAAAAAAATAAAAATAACTAAGAAAACAAATAACTTTTCCTAAAAATCCTCCTCTATCAGTCTCCTCAAGTTGGAAAAAACTTATCTTCAAGTTCAAGTTGTTATTATCTCGATCTTATAAATGTTTAATCAAAACTCTTCAACCCTTTTTATTTCTTCATTTTAGATGAATAACAATTCTATATATGAACTTTAATCCTTTTATTTTAAATTTTTTTTAAAAAATAACAATTGACAAATTATTTATTTGTTTTTAAGAATAATGAATTGAAGACTTCAAACTTGCTTCATCAATATATGTTATATCTATATAATCCTTGGACACGCATACCTTTATGATAATAATAAACTTGTAATCGAAAGGATTGACATAATTTAAATCAATATTTTTTTTATGAGCACCTTTCATATTTTTTTTTAACTCGGCCTCTAAATTATCAACGAGGACACTATTAATAATATCATCACTACAATTATTATCATTGTATATGATATCATTATCATAAAAATAAACATTATAAATTGAAAAAGAATATCAATTCACATTTATCTCATCATAAACGAGATTACCAAAAATTTTATAATATTTACTCTAATTAAAAAGTTATTCATGTCTCTAAGATGAGTTCTTAAAATTGGCTATGGATTTGTGATAACTCTCATCACTATTCTCTAGTCTTCTTTTCTTAATCTCTACTAATATACAAAATAATTTTTTAACTTGTCTATGTATATTTACTATCGTCAATTGACGAGTTAATTTTATAATTCATTTTTGCATATCTTCTGTCAATAATTTCTAAACTTCTTTTTTACGAGGGGTAATTATTTAACAATATACAATAACTAATCACTAACAATTGTTAGGCTATAATTGTATGAAACCTCTAACACCAATGCAAATGAAAATAACATAAGAAATACAATATTAATAAACAACCCCAAATTCTACTTAATAGGATCACTATAGTAATAACACTAATTCAAAATTTTGATTTTTAATATTTCACCATGACAAGTAGTTCAAGAGACTAACCACTCATTGAATAAACTGAAAAACAATCTCCTGCAAAAAAAATAAAAATAAAATCCTAAATAAATTTTAAAAGTAAAATTATTAAATATACCTGAGAATACAAATAACATTCAAAAAACCAGAGTAAGAGACTTCTGTATGCTTTCTTTTTAAATCTGAGTGGGAAGGGGTCAGGTAGCTAATTAACATCTCCCCCGCGTTAGGCTTGGATCCAATCTTCCCTCACTTATGTCAGGGATGGCAAATGCCTGGAAAAGAGAAAACAACAAACAGCCTAAACTCCTATCTCCCATCCTTCTCATCCTCTCACTCTCTCTCCTTCTCCTCCTCTTTCTCTTCTTCTTCTCTGCTCGGTCCCCGTCGAATCCTCCTACCTCCACACTATTTGTAACCCAAGTTTACCCAATCCCTTCTTTTAATTGCTTAGAATCTCCACAAGCTCACCCTGTGGTTGCCAACATTGTGGAAAACCTCAAATACCCCTTTCTCTACTCTCTCTCAGATTTTGGGTCTTTGCCTGACAAGCCCCACAAGAACATTGTGAGGCTTCTGAAAGGAAAGCCTTTCAGGAAGCCAGATATTTCTGCCACGATTCAGCAACTTCTTGAAGGGATGAAAGGAAGAAATGGGTTGGTGGTGGATGTTGGGGCTAACGTGGGAATGGCGAGTTTTGCAGCCGCGGTAATGGGTTTTAAAGTGCTGGCTTTCGAGCCAGTGATTGATAATCTTAAGAGGATTTGTGATGGGATTTGGTTTAATCGTGTTGCGGACCTGGTTACTGTTTTTGAGGCTGCTGTCTCTGATCGGATTGGGAATATTACTTTTTATAAGGTAAAAATTCACTCACTTCTAATTAATCTAATTTATCGAAGATATATTGGATTTAGGGCTGATAATTATAATTGATTGATTTGATTTAGCCTAACTTGAAACTATCTACTGTATTGAATACGCGTCATCTGTGTCATTGATTTGATTTAGCCTAATTTGAACCATACTTCTATCTGCTGTATTGAATACTCGAGTCATCTTAATCCCTTTTAAATTGGCAGCTGGTAGGTCGGCTTGACAATAGTGCTGTCTCAGCCAATGGTGCAAAGTTGGCGTTCAAGTCCAACGAAGAAATAGCCTTTCAAGTAAGGACCGTTCCCCTTGATGAACTAATTCCAAATTCAGAACCTGTGTTGCTTCTCAAAATTGATGTCCAAGGATGGGAATATCATGTGTTGAAAGGGGCCGTAAAATTATTGTCAAGAAAGAAAGATGCAGCTCCCTACCTAATCTACGAGGAGGATGAACGGTTGCTGCAAGCGAGCAGCAGTAGTGCCAAAGAGATCCGGGATTTCCTCCATGGTGTTGGATATAGCCATTGTGTCCAGCATGGTACAGATGCCCATTGCACCAAGGGTTAGCGAGCACCAGACCGTTTCATGGGAAACACAACCCCCCTAACTGAATGGTTTAGTTTCCACTGTTTCCAGACCGCACCTCACCCCTTGCAAGGAAATGTAAGACATTCGGCTGCTTGGTGTTTTTCATTTCTTCGTGCCGTGTGAAATTTTTAGATATGTAGAGTTTGCATGTAAGACACTTGGCTGGCTGCTCTGGTGTGTGCCACTTCTTGCCACGTGAATTTTTCCGATTAGTTGCAAGCTGTTGTAGGTGACTGCAATAGAGGGCCTTCGCACCTGCACTGGCCGGGAAAGGTCAAGTTTTCTTGGATGTGCATTCGAGCTATCCGATTGTAACTTTTATTGATGCAATGATGTTTTTCTTCTCTCTTTCGTTTAAGAAAATCCATGATTGATTTTAGCCTATTATTTTTGCCTGTGAAACCTGTATTCACTTAAAAATTGATATAGGAGAGCTCGCAATCCTTGTAACAACATGAGTGGCGATCATCTCGCAATGATAAAATCTTGCCTTAACTTGCATGGCCATGGCTCATGTTGTTCGATAGGAGTTACGAAATCTGCTCGATGCCAAGTTTTACCAGAAATGCGTCAGATAGCGAATTGCATTCAATGAGGAAAGCAAGAATTAAGGTGACAAATTAACACGAGAAACAGCTAACACATTGACCAAGGGCACATCTTCTGGCGCCCACCAAGTTACTGTGGACGGTTATAACTTGAACGTCTGAGCCCGATCATGTCGAGGCAGAACCTTTACAGTGATTTATCATATAAATCAGACCATGATTGAGCATGCAAAACTCAGGATCACAATCTTGTCGAGCAAAATACAAAAAGCCACCATTATCTGGGAGGCCCGTGTGACGTTATTCAGGTGCAGCCTCAGACCTGATTCGCTCGTACAGTTGGTAGATCAGAGTAGATCTGGACATCTGAGGTTCCCTTTCCAGCACCGCCATCACATCCTTAACAGTAATAGTACGAACCACCTTCGTTTGAGGCGCAATTGCTTGATTCCTTCCAAATTTCCTAACAGCTCCTGCCAAAGGAAAAGGAAGGCAAGGTGAAAAACCAACAAATGTAACGAACATAACTATACATATGTTATAATGAACGGCATATTTGAAAGTATGATTGCTGTTATGTTTTAAATAGTTTTTCATGTTAAAATGTATATTAATAATATTTTTTTATTTTTTAAAAATTAGTTTTAATATTAGTACATTAAAATAATTTAAAAATACTAAAAACATATTAATTTGAAGTTAATAAAAAAAATTTAAATTTTTTTAAAAATATTTTTAAAACAGTCACTTGCTTCAGCACATGTCCCGCTAATAGTCACACTTACCAGATGCAGAAGGAGGAACTGCCGGGCTCCTTTTTTCTGCTTCGAGATTTTCTTTCACGTTTCTTCCAGATGGTGATTGAGGATTGCGGTTCACATCTTTAACTGGCTGGGAACTGGATGCCCCCTCCATCCCTACTTCACGTTTCTGCCGTGCTTGTTCAGCCATTAGTTGCCATTTTGACAGCATGTCAGCTCCTCCAACAGCAGCTCGAGCAGCAACATTAGCAGCTGTTGTCCTCATTTTATCATCCTCCTCTTTGTTAGCCTACGTAGTTGTAGTTGTAGAAATTAGAAAAACAAAGATCTATTTTACTGGCTAGAAGGCAAACTTTTAATACTTGCCAACATCTTTGATACCTTCACTGACTTCACGCGACCTTCATCTTTCTCCTTGTCACCTTCACCTCCATTTTCACCCTCGGGCTGCATTTAGAGATATTGAGGTAAAAAAAAATTAAGGAATTCATGCTTGCATAAATATATCATATAGTGAAATATCATGCAATATACTTGTGCATTGTTCTTTATGAACATGTACTTCATAAAATCATAGATAATGATAGTAAAAGAAAGTACAGTGCCATATAAAGCACGCACATCGTTAACTTTTTGGAGCTTTTCTGCTTCAGCCTGCCTTTTCTCCCATTCTTCCCGAGCTTTCCGGCTCATTGCCATTATCTGTTGCCTAACATCCGAAGTAATTAGAGTCTGGTGTCTTGGCTTCTCAGCATCAACACGCTGTGAGATCCAATTGAAATCATGAAAAGATGATTAAAGTGAGAAAATAAATAGAAGCAGAGACAGAGATTAAAAAAGTCACCTGTTTTGACAGCCTGATCAGGTTACTTATCAGTCCACGCATCCTTTCCTCCACGCACTAAAAATGGAATTCCATAAGAAATTGTGGGAGAATTAGCACAAAGAATGCACCAAGAACAAGCAACTCACCAAAGACAAGCATCGCCCAACATCATTGCCAATGTTCTTCAAACCACATTTGGCCACTGGAGACAGACAAACCCAACACATATCAAACCATGTGAATGATACAGCCTTCCATAAAGCACAAAATGCAAGGAGAAATGAGTTTACAACAGCCATAAATAACAGAAATACTAACTGATCTCTCCTAATTTTTTCTGCAAAGGAATTTTCTGCAAAATGAGCCTTTCTTCTTCTTCCTGTACAACCCTCCGTGATGCTTCTGAAACTCGACTGTCCTCCTTTGTCCCTGAAAATAGTTGTTCTTCCTCTTCCTATTTCAAAGCAAATTATCAAAAGAATTACAAGCTTATTTGTCAAAGGGAGTGCTTTTACTGGCTAGGTGATACTTTTGATCAGGCAATCTTGATGATTGTAAAAAATACCATACCCTGAGATTAACTCCACTGACAGCAGTGACATCATTGAGTTGTTCAATGCTTTGATCAGAAAAAGCCCCAGCTACCTTTTGCTTCTTACTGCATGTTATCCCACAGATTATGCATCAAACATGATAAAAAACAAGCTTTTAACTAGATAAAAGAAATAAATGATCAATCACTCTTGCTCCATAAAAAGGAGCTATTTCACCTTGATGCAGGAGGCGATGAACCAAGTGCTTCAAATGGCTTCTTTTGGCCAACAGAAGGTTTTTTGGGAGGTGTTCTTGCACTAACTCCAGCAGGAGAAGCTACAGATGGGTTTCGCGAGCTTACCTGATGGCACATAGAAGTAAAGGGGATACTATTCATCAAATAAACAAAGAATGACTAGTTTAATCATTACGAAAGTTTTGTGTGTGAAATTGAGTATGCAAAACAAGATATTTCTGATATGAGATAAAGAAACAAAACTTTTAAAAACTTCATGTGATTGGAGAATCTGTTTTGTATAGCATTACTCAGTCAAACCAAAAGGAAATAAGCTAGTAAAGACAAATTCATTCACATGTTCCATGAAAGGACGGGGATGTCTTTAGCTGTATACCATATTGAAGCAGGAAATTTAAGAAGAATTAACGTTTACTTGGTAATTTTAGTTTATGATGCAGGAGCTTTTTTGGAAAAATAAATATTTTTCTTAGTTAATTTTATGTTTTCCTATTCTATATTATTATGTTTTTCTAGTTTTTTTTTTTTTCCTATTTCATGTTCCTAATTTATTCTTTTTATTTAGTATTACTAGGGTTTTCTAGTTTTTTTTTTTTTCCTATTTCATGTTCCTAATTTATTCTTTTTATTTAGTATTACTAGGGTTTTCTAGTTTTATATATATATAGGTTGTGATAGCCTTTAGGCAAGGATAAAATTAAATATTTTAAGAGTCTTCCCATAGTTATGGTGTTCTTGGTCCTTGAGGATTTTAACTTATACCAAACCCCATTATCCCTCGCTTTCATTTGTGTAAGTTGGTATCATGGCCCAACGATTCCTATGGTTTGGGTTTGAAGGTAATGAGGATTTTTATCAAATCTCAATTATCCCTCGCTTTCATTTGTGTAAGTTGGCATCATGGCCCAACGATTCCTATGGTTTGGGTTTGAAGTTAATGAGGATTTTTATCAAATCTCAACAATTCCTAATGGTTAGTTGATGTGAGATATTGAATAGCCATGATTGGAAAAGATTATACAACAGGACATGCCCATGTCGGAGGAGATGAGAAGGTTCCTTCTTGGACAAAAGACATCCCGAAACTAATGTGTTGTTTTTGTCTGCATTAGTTGCCCTTATTGGAAATCCTAATGGGGTTCCTTCTTGGAAAAAAAAATCCTGAAACTAATGTGTTGTTTTCGTCTACATTTGTTGCTCTTATTGAAAATTCTAATGGTAATGGGCTACACACAGATATTGTGTTAGGATCCACAATGGGACGGTCCAAACAAAGGTGCTAGGAAACCTCAATGGAGCGACCTGCACAATGGTGTTTGGAACCCATGATGCATGGCCCACAAATAAAAAGATTTTCGTGGTGGACAACGGTTTCTGACTAAAGTCTAAACTTGAGAACGGATTCCTTCTAATCCAAGGAGACTAATGCAAGAGTTTTTTAGAAAAATAGATATTTTCCTAAGTAATTTTATGTTTTTCTATTTTTATTTTCCTGTTGCTTTTCTAGTTTTTTTGTTTTCTATTTGAAAGGAATAGTTTTTCTAATTTATTTTTTTATTTAGTATTACTCGGGTTTTCTATTTATATATATATATATATATATATATATATAATGTTATAATAGTCTTTTAGCAAATGAAGACGTTTATAAATAAAATTAAATATTTTGAGAGTTTCCCATAGTTACAATGTTTTTGGTCCTTGAAGGTCTTGACTTGTAGCGAACCATATTCTTCGCTCCAATTGGTGTCAGTTTTACATTATTTTGAATTCACTATCAGTCCTATTAATAGTGCTTGGTTATTTGTATAATCTATAAATCATTAGTATTATAAATCCTTAGTATTAAAAGGACCCTATAAGTTTTCATAGTGCCTTCTTTTCATATAAGGATTAGGATTTAAACCTATAACTAGTATAAATAGGGCTGCCAGTGCCAAGATGTCTTGTATTTTTAGAGATGGAGATTGCTTTCCACTTTGGACGCTGCTACAAACCCTAAACCTATTTTTCTAGTTCCAGCTTTAATTTTCTTCTAGTTTTAGCCATCATATTTAATCTTCTTTGCAGTTTTGAGTTGATTTCTCTTCCCAAGCTACGTCATATTTGCTCACCTAAAAAGTACTCTAGGGGGATGACATTTGCATATCATATCCAAGTATCTTGGACAAGGCTACATTTTCAATCAATTTCAAAGTAGTTGCATGGAGGAAATTAAATTTCCAGTAAAAGATTTTCAAATTGCTAAACACATATGATTAATTAATTAATTCATGCCATAGTCATTGGACTTCTCTAGAAGAAACGTAAAGCCCAGTACAACCAGATAAATTATCACAGACTAAGTGTGTGTTTCGTATTGCGGAGCAAAGTGCTTTTCAAAGGTGCTTTTTGATTGAAAATGCATCAAAATGATTTTATTTTTTTTTTCATTTTTAACATCAAAATAATCAAAAAACACTAAAAAACACCAATTTGGTGCTTTTTCAAAGCAAATGCACTTTTAAAAGGCATTCAAAAGCAGAAGCTACTGTACTCCCAGACAAGGTCTAAAAGATTTGGGCTTGTGAAGCACTTAGAAAGTCCAACCTGATAACTTTTGCTAACTAGTCCAACCACCATCAAGTGATTTAATAAAGAGTCAGGGACGCTGTGCAATTTGCATCTAGTGGTTCAAATAACAACAAGGAAGATGGTAGATAAACTATGAAATCAAGAACTCAAACAACTAAATGTTGTAGAAATATATTCATGATCAGTGCGAGAGTACCTGGCCATTGGGGTCCAGTTGAGTCACAATTGAAGGGGAAACAGAACTGGGGGGAACCATACCAGTAGATGTTGAAAAAACAACTTTAGAAGATTGCTTGTCTAAAGATTGATCCTTTAAATTTCCTGATATGGCATTTCCCTGTTCGGGTGCAGGAGGCAGCACTTGAGGGCTCAACAACTGGGGTTTATTCTGCTGCTCACCAGCCTGTTCAAGAGAGCCCGGTTTTACATAATTCATTGATGAGAATGGAGCAGGACTTTGCTCTCTATTTGGTGGCGCTTGCCAAGGAACTGAATTCTGTTGTACAGCCGATTTGTTTGTATAATGGGAAACAGAACCACTGTGCACTCTACTAGAATCATTAGCAGAATTTTGCCTCTCAAACTTCGGCATGCTTATCATGTTATGTGGTGGCCCTCCTACTTGTGTCCCGCCCATGTTCTGATGATGTGAAATTTGCCTTGTTTGTTGATCATGGGGTTGCGGCTTCACAGATGGTCCTGAAGTACTAACTTTAGTCCCAGGATATGGATTGTAATTACCACCACTGCTTCCATACATTGGAAAGGAAGTTGGTGGAAAGTGCACATGTTGTTGCTGTTTGTTCTGCCCTTGCATTGAAATAGAAGGTCGCTCCCTTTCTTGATTGACAATACTGGTACTGGAAGAATGCAACTGGCTAGCTTGTATTCCAAGAGAATCTGCCTGCCATTCCACTGCTTTGGATTTCTGAGAATTGACAATGCTTGAATCAGTCTGCAATTGGACTGCTGACGGAGGATTACGAGATGGTTCTGAAGAAATAGATCCCCTAGGGTGAAGTAAATGATGTGGATCAGGAAATTGAGTAGCACTGATTCCAGCAGGCATTCTCACATTGTTCTGGCGACCAGCTTGAGACTGTAACTGGGATTGGTTGGAACCTGACTGCAATATAGGACAAGCTGGCTTCAGCCTAGTATCACCTAAGGGAGCCCTTAGCTCATTATAATGTCACTAAACTCATTCATTACTTGCCTGTGATTGCAGTTGTGCAACTGCCAACCTGAGCACTTGATCCCCAACAATATTTCTCATAAGTCTAACAAATTGGTCTTTCGCAATTTCATTTTTCTAAAAATGACAAAGGAAGATATATCATGATAACAATTAGTCCAGAGCATGAAAGAGAAAGCACAAAAGTCATGTCAGATACCCACCCTCAGTTTATTAAACAAAGTTTGCAGCTGCATCTCTCTGTCTTTATCAAGATGAGGTTTCAAGGCAGGCAACAATAATACAAAGGGTATCTGCTTGCTATTCTTTTGGTTAGCAGCCTGATCTGTGCCTGTAGTTTGCTGATTGCCTATCTTCTGAAAATTTAAAAATTGAGAATCAACATCTGAAATTTGCATTTTATCAGGCTCGGATTTTGGGGTAGGATTTTGCTCAGAACTCTGCGCCCCAATAGATTGAGGAGTCTGGACAGGAGCTTGTTCCACAAGCTCTTGTTTAATATCATCTTGATTTTTTTTCTGAAGCACTGGTGGGTGGGTTGGTTCCTGCAGGACATCCCCCTTTTGTTGTTGGTTATCAGCATTAGGTACATGCTGCTTTGTCTCCATTGCAGATGACTGCTGCTCCTGATGATGTTGTTGTTCAACACTTTTTGCATCATGTTCTTCAGTGTTACTGGCATTGTCATTTTGCCCCACAGTTGGCCAATTTGGAAATTGTTGACTGGAACTTTGATTGTTTTCGTGGGACAAAACTACAGCATTTTTCAGTTGTGCACAGCACAGAAAAAATTATCAGAATTTTGAAAACACAATATTCCAGACAGGCTAAAATACCAAGCACAAGTACAGAAAACATTGCTGATATAATTAACATGACGAACATAAAAAAAGGCTAAAGACAAGCACAAATGACATTGCCACCATGATAAACTGATTGACTAATTAATGACTTAAATGATCACAACACCCAAAACATTCTACAACTTTCTTTAAAAAAAAAAAAAATCCTCCAACTTTATGCGTTTACATCGCAATGCTAATTTCCGCCGTCTTATTTCTCAGCCTAAATCATATAATTAAGCTATCAGTAAATCATAAGAAACTGAATTATATAATCAGAAGGTGGTTGAATGAAAGCTCAAATAAGTACCCGAACTCGAATCAGACGGCTGAGAGGTGGAGACATCACCCCCGATGTCCCGATTTAAGGCAGCTTGAAAAGCCTCCACGTCAGCACCGGAATGCATGGTTTCATCCTTCAAACACAAAACCCTCGTGACTGAAAACCTAAAATTCATAATATTATATAAAAAACTAAAAGAAGAAGAAGAAAGAAATGCGTACCTCGTCTTCTTCAAGAAGCTTCATTATGTTAGGGTCCATTATAAACCAAACAGCCTGTGATTGATATTACAACTATGTCGCTTTTTACACAATCTGTTTGCTTTTGGAATGGATAAGATTTCGAGGTGCGAAATAAAATAGAGATGAAATTAATTTAGAAATAAAGTAACAGAAGCAATAGTGGAGCTAATTCATTCAATTTTATTTTTATGTTCGAGAGACAGAGACAGAGACAGGGACAGAACAAGAGACAGGTTTTTCGGAGAAGAGAGTGGAAACCGTTGCAGTCTTGTGTTCCCTTTTCCGTCTTATATGTAGCAATGATATAGGGACCTGGTGATCCAGAACTGTTTTTGTGTTTTAGGCCTTCCCTTGTTGCCCGAACCGTTTCGTTGTGTGGGCTTGGTTTTATTGTTTGTGTGGGCTTTGGGTCTTAGAGACCAGTCGTTCACGCGCTCTTTTATTCAGTGGCCTGTTTCAATTTTTTGGTGTTTTTAATTTGAGAATGAAAATGAAAATAATTATTTATAAATTAAAAAATAACAGGGATGAAATTTAAAAAAAAAATAGAAATTAAACCAATAGAATTAAACCCAAAAAATAAAAAAACCTAAAAAAGAAGATTAAACATAAGAAAACATAAGCTCTAAAGAGGAAAGAAAATGCAAGGAAACTAGGGTAAACTTTTAAAATTTGGTCTAACCTCTAAATTCTATAACTTCTAAATCTTGGACTTGATTTTAATCAAGAAACTTAACTCCCAAAAAATTCAATCTTAAATAATGAAATCAAGGAAAAATATTAATAAAAAAAACTTGTAAAAGAAAAAAAATAGGGATAAAATTGAACAAGAAAAAACCCAACAAGGATGAAGTTTGAAAAAAAAAATTAATGATCCCAAACAAAATAAATTGCAATTAAAAGAATTAGGGCCAAACTTGAAGTATTAAAAAATCATAGGGGGTGAAATTAAAAATGATTTGTAATTTGATAAATTATTTATGGATTAAAAAATGATATGGGGTAAAATAAAAAGAAAATTGTAAATGGCTAACCTAGGAGAATCAAACTGAGAAAAAAAATAAAATTAAAAAACACCAATTTAGAAGAAAAAGGAAAGAACCAAGCAAACTCAGCAAACCTCTTAAATTTAATATGATCTCTAAAAATTGCATCATGTGAAATCTTTGATCTGGATTCAATGAAGAAGTACAATTCTCAATTAATTTAATGACAAGATGGATAAAAAAAATATTAATTAAAAAATATTACAAAAATAACAAAAAAAATAAAGATAAAATTTGATAGAAAAAATCAAAGAAGCATGCAATTTAATGAAAAAACTTTAAAATAATCCCCAATAAAATAAATAGTAATTAAAAGAATAAGGGTAAAATTTTAAAGATTAAAAAAATCATAAGGGGTAAAAGTGAAAAAACATTTGTAAAAACTAAGGAAACTTGAGCAAATGTTCTAAACCTAGTAAAATCTTAAAAATTTATAACCTATAAAGCTCTGGATTCGAGTCCAAATAAGAAGTTTATTTTGAGTCAATTTAAAAATATCAATTTTTAAAACTTATAAAAGTAAAAGAAAAAAAAGTAGCAATTAAAAGAACATTGATTAAATTTAATAGGGAAAAAAAATAAAGAAGGATGAAATCATAAAACAAAATCAATTTAAGAAATGATTCCAAATAAAAACTTATTAAGACAAAGAAGTTTATTAAGAAATTAGTAATCAAAAGATCAAGTATTAAATTTGAGAGAGAGAGAGAGAGAGAGAGAGAGAGAGATAATTAGTGCATGGGATCTTTCAAATACTGTCTTGAAGGGTGGTGTTTAATGATTGAAAAGTTTTTTATGTGTCATTAAAACAGTGCATGAGATCTTCCATAATTAGTGCTTATAAGTAGTTTTTTAATTATATTTAATAAAAATAATTTATAATAATATTCTCTAGCACCTTTAAAATTTACAACAAACAAAAAAACTATTAGATGAGGGTTTAATTAGTTTTGTCTTTAAATGTATCGAGTAACCACTCTATTCTATAAAATAAATACCTTTAATTTGGAGGCATTGAATTATTTTTTTCAAGAGTTAAATGAATAATTTTATTGTGTATTAAAAACAAACAATTACTAATACACTCCCACATAATGCTTAAAAAACATTCATGTTATTGTAAAAAGGCCACCCTACCCCAAAACCAAGTTAAAAATTAAATGAGAAGAGACAGTTATAATTAATAGTAAATTATAGCTCGGAATACAGTAATATCACAGGAACTTTAATGTCTTTGATAATATTACATATATTTTAAATGGTATGAGAGAAATATTGAGGTCATCTACTGTATTTTTTTCACTATACCCTTGGAAAAAGCACTCTTATTGTTTGCCTTAAAAAAAGGGGGGGTTAAATGGTCATTTTGCAACATATAAATGTCAATGTATAATTGCAAGATGGTATAAATGGTTTTTCATAAATTTTTTGGACTTGTAAATACTATATTGCTCTTGTGAAACCTAAAAGCCAGTAGACCCCAAAGACTGTATAGACATGACCAAAGGATCAAATGCGAATGGGACATGACTCCTCTCATAAAAATTGGTCTACAGACATTAACTTATGATCAAAGCCATCTCAATTGGCCTGCAAATTTGCAAAAGACTTGCTTAGCTTATACAAGATATATATAAGTCCATCAAACAAAGTTATAATAGTTATCAAGAAGCATTCAATCCGAGGTCTCCTCAGCCTCTCCAGTGGAGGAGTCACGTGCAGAAGAAGGGGGCAATTGCCCCTCTTCAGTTTTCGAAATATTCATTTTAGCTTGGTTAATTATATCATTTCAAATTTAACTACTTTATGTATGAGAAACATAGCCACTTTTTCTTTGCTGGAAAGGGTATTTGAACCTGGAGCATTTCCCTTTCACATTTATAGTGCATCCTTGATGAGATTGTTCTAACTACAATTGGAAGGATTGAGTTTGCTCTTTTCTCACTATTTTTTGATAATTTGGCATATCTAACCCGATGGTGTCTAGATTTTCCTCACAAGCATGTTAAGATGTTGTATTGTATATGTCAAAAGCACGGCACCATCTCTAGTTTGAAAGAGGACAACACTAAGTATGCCAAATGATCTGCTACACACTGATCTACTGCTTTCTGTAATTTTAGGCACTGGATTACTGCCATTCACAAGGCATGGTGCATAGAGAAGTGAAACCCTCAAAATGTGATGATTGATCATCAGGTCCAAAAACTACGCTTGATTGACTGGGGACTCGCAGAGTTTTACCTTCCCGGCAAAGAGTACAATGCGAGAGTAGCTTCATCGTATTCATGAATTCTAGATTAGTAAATGTAGACGTTAAAATGTAATTTCTTCTCTAACACTAAGGTGGAGATTTCAGAGGGTACTTTGTTTTAAAGTAATTTCCATGAAGGTACAGTTGGCCGAAGCACCATGAGAAATTATGTTTTTCCAAGCAGCTACTGTTGTTCTAACCCCTTCATAAAAGAGTCAAACATTCTGTAAGCTTTTAGCGGCAAAATGCAAATAAGGTATCTATTGGCGTTCATATATTTTAAGGGTCCAAAACTCCTTGTTGATTTACAAGACTATGACTATTCTCGAGGCATGTGGAGACTGGGCTGTTTGCTTGCAACGATGGTGAAAATTCTGGTGGATCTGCCTGTTCCTTATATTGTAATTAAATCCCATAAGAGCTACTTGCCAATGTACTCTAGTGTAATGTTATATGATTGTAAATGTTTTGCACAAATATTGCCCTGCAGATATCGCGAAAGGAGTCATTCTGTTGCGGCCGTGACAATTATGACGAGCTCGTCAGAATTGTGGAGGTAATTTTATGTCTGGTTTTTGACAAAATAATCTTACGGTCAGACTTGATCGGTTGCTTGTTTGATAGTACAAGAGGACATGGTATCTCCAGTTTGTATGCTCTATTTTATCTAGTCACGGGGCATCATAGTAATTGGTCATCACTTTTCTTCAGGTTCTTGGAACAGATGAGTTTAAAGCTTATTTGAACAAGTCTTTCTAGCCTTAAAAAAGAAAGAAAGGAGTTGTTGTAGCTTCTGCCCACCCACATCCTCTCCCCTGTTATCTTTATACACAACCTTTCTCCTTTCAATTTCTAAGAACATTCAAGTCAATTTCTGCTGTTTGACATATACTTACGGTACACAATGCTTATTCAGTTCTTCTGCTGGTACAGCAGAACACCACGGTCTCAGGTCATCACTTCAGAAAACAGGCATCTAGTTTTCCCAGAGGTCACGTGAATTATTTTTCTACGGATGAAATAATAGTTTCCAAATAGTCTTTGTAAGAATTATTTCGGCTTTGGCCATGGACTCTTTCTAACGCAAGTATTGGTTCTTTGGTTTCATTTGTGTGGCAAGCAGGCCATTGATTTTATTGCTAAGTTTCTTCGTTAGGATCATCAATACAGGATTACAGCTGGTGAGGCAATGGTATGTTTTAGTATAATTTCTTTGGGATTTAACGGAATGGTGCCTAGCGTAATCTAAAGGATAGCTACGCCCATGCATTCTTCAATTAATTTATTTTCTACCTTCACTGGCATGTTGTTATGGCGCGTTCTCAAGGAATTGAAGCAAAACCCAAGAATCTAAAGATAAAGTCGACAATGTAACCAAGGCATCATAGTAATATAAACACACTCCACAATACATCGCAATTGACATCCATGAATTTGAATGAATTGCTTTGCAAAGTTCCAAACTCGATTACAAGACAATAAAGATGGAGCGTTGAATCCGTATCCACTAGTTCTTCTCCCACACTTCATTTCTTGAGGTGGGGGAAACACGCATAGACGTCAGATTTGGGGTGTTTGGCTTCTGCATGCTCCCTGCATTTCACCTCCGATGTGGTGCAAATGAATGTCTGCATACACACCTTGCACTGCAGACAAATTACAAGACAGAAAAAAACAAAATTTTCAATTCATAATTCCATATGCTTATTTTTAATAACCGAATTATTGGATCCAATGCATCCAAGGGGTAAAATCTTATTGAGTCGACCACAATAATCTCAAGATTTCCCATTGAGATGATAACATGGCTGAAGCCAATGGAAAACATAGATATGACAAGATCAAGGCATCCATCGAAATTACCACACAAGGAAGAGTAGGAATTGAAGAGGTTGGTTTTCTTCCTTTGATTAATTCATGCCTAGATATTAGTGATTGGTAAAAACAAAATCAACCGCATTTGGCCTAATATCAGCTCCAGTTTCACTTTATGAAGCAACAGGAGCTGCAATTTCTTTGAATTAAAATTTTAAAAATTTAGCAGGCGGAAAGAGGAAAGAGCAAGGAAGAAATTACCTGGATCGACATGGCTTTCTTGTTTGCTTCAAGCTGACTTCCTGCATATAGATCGGACCACAAATTCGAGTCAGGTTATGAAAATAACCACATAGATCTCCTCAGACAAACATCGAACAGTCAGATGAACTAAAAGAGAGAGAGATTTGGATTGCTAGGGTTTTATGAATAGTTAACTAATTACCCTTGGAACCAGCTTTTTGCTTATCCAGGTTCCTCTCGCGAGCCATCTTTGCCTTCTGCCCGTTGCCTCCTCCCATTTTTTTCTTCTTCGGTTGAACCGAGGGCGAGTGTTGGAGTGGAGGAAATGAGATTTGGGTATCTGCCGCTTTAAGATAGGAGAGAACACCCCGGCAAAATCTTCCTAGAGGATACGTATTTATATTCAGACCCCAGTGGAAGCCAGAGAAGATGGGCAATCATTAAATTTATTTGTGATTTTAACTGATAAGAAAAAAGGAGGAGGAGAAAGGACTTAATCCTCTAGAACGACGTCGTAGCTTGTGTTTCTGCGGGGGAGAGGGTTTGTGTGAGGACTAGAATTGAGACTTTTTTTTGTGTGCTGAAGGATCCACGAGGGAGCTGCTTAGAAACTTCGTTGGAGGCAGGTTTGGAACTTTGGATCCTATTCGTGGACTAGAATAGGTGGAATAATTTCGGGGTGTGTCCATGTCATGTCATGAAAGTGGATAGAGTCCACGAAAAAGAAGTGTGTGAGTTATCGCAATGAACCACACAGCTGGAGCTCACTTCTAACTTGTGGTGGTTTGTGCACGTATGTGACAAGGCTCAGCACACAGGAGTAGTGGACCCGTGCAACCCAGCCCAATTGGGCAGCCTAACAGAGCCAACTGCTTCTTTTCTTTTCTTTTCGGTACTTTGAGCGAGTGAGAAAAGCCTTAAATACCCTTTATGGAATTTGTAGGAAACCAAGGCCTGCTTGTGATTTATGAAAAATGAATTTTTAGAAATTATTTTCAAGAACTTCTCGTTTTTATTTATTATTAAAAAAATTAATTTATAAAAAATATTTTTTAGTAAAAATTAAATTCATTTGATTTTAATAAAAACTTTTATATTTTGAGTGGAATACATTTTTCAAAAGTTATTGTAAATTTTAAAATATCATGATATTTGTTAATTGTATCAAATATGATCCTTAATATTTTAATTGTTATATATATATTATTTTTTATTTTTTATTTTTTATTTTTTAATCTCATTTCTTAAAATTTTATTTAATTTAATTTTTATATCAACTTTACTTCTTATTATTTTAATTATTATTTATTTTTATCTTATTTTTTTTTAATTGGATTTTTTTATCTATTAGAATTGGTTTTTATTTTTTTATTACTATTTTTTACTTTAAATAATTCATAAAATTGATTTTTTTAACAATGTATTCTTTTAAAAACTTTATCTGCCAGATTTAGTCTTCAATCTTTTTATTGATATTCTTTTTAAAATAAAATAAAAAATTATATTTAAAAAAAAATTATACTCCATAACTTTTTTATATATTATATTCTTTTCCTCGTCTTTTTGATAAATTTAAAAATATATATTAATAAAATGTTTTATAATTTATTTTTTATAATATAGTAAAATATTAAAAAATATTTTTAAATTTATTTTTTTATAATATTATCAAACATTAAAAAATAATTAATTCACTTAAAAAATATATTTTCTAGCAAATAAATAATGCTTAATTGTTCACGAAGTGAACCCTGACTCGAAGAAAGGTGCAAGCATGAATTAAAGGCTTAGAAAACATGAAATTTTATTCATGAATTTTACATATGTGAAGCTCGTAGTTTTTCCCTTGTGTTTATTTGAGAAATTAACCCATTAAATTTAAAAAACTTGGTTAAATATTTTGAGAAGGTATTTTTAATCTACTCAGGCTAGGGATACCTAGTCTCAATAAAAAAAGAATTTGCTCTCTATTGTTATAATTATATATATATAAAAACTCTAAAATATGTGGGGAAAAATAATATTGTTATCCCCATTAGAAATATCATGTTTTCCTTCTCAAAATAAACTAAATAACTAGTTATAAAAGGTAATATGGTATTTTTATAAGGGTTTCATTAGTTATTACTGTATTCATGAGAGGTGAATTTCTAATGCACAGTGAAATGAATGCATTGCCCTTCAATTCAGATTTTTAAGGCTAAGGCATTTTTATATTTTCAATTGTTTTAAGAATATTAAAATAACTTAAATGCCCTTATAAGTTGAATTTTCTTAAGTTTTTTTCTAAGAGTATTTTTATATTCTCTTTTGTTATTGTTGTAGCAATTTTATAATTTAATAAATGTAACTATTATTTAAAAATAGAATTTTTGACATATACAATGCATATGTCAGCACGTATAGAGCTGATCGATGGTCAAACATTGCTTTTTAATATAATGTTTGAATCGTTTTGATATCATTTTAGTAATGAAATAGCATGTGTTACCAGTAGTCTTTTGATTCAACATCGACAACTTTTTTTTATTTGATTTGATTTTATTTTTTTAAAGCAAGCAATAAGTCCCCTATTCATTCCCAAATTATGACCACCACAATGGTTGAAAAATTAAGAGAGGTGTCTTTTTTGGCTTAAAAACTTATTTTTTTAAACCCGTGTTTAACCTTGAAATCTTCTAGAAAACATTGTAGATATTTTAATAAACTCATTTATGACCTCAAAAAATCTAAAAAGCTACCCAAAACTTGTAATCAAACCTAAATCAAAAAATTTCTCAAGCTCAAACATGTTCTTTAAGAAATTTGAAAGTTGATAAACACTTTAGTAGAACTCTACTTGTTGAATATAACATGTTGATACTGAAATCAACTGTTTTGGTTTTTACAATTGGTGTCAATAATGATTATCTCTCCACCACTAGAATCCAATTTTCTCTTTCATTTCTTGAACTAGAATTGAAAAATAAAGAAAATGAAGTTTTAGAACAAAATTGATTTGTTTTCTAAAATTTAAAAATTAGAGGAATTCAATTTTTATAATTTAGAAAGTATAAAAACTAAATGGAACATTTCATCTAAAAGTTTGAAAACAACATCCATATCCTTTATTCTTTTATTTTGATCCTTTATCTTTCAATGCTTTTCTTCTCTAGCAAATTTTAGCCAAATTAGATTTTAATTAAGTCTCTAAAGGGCAATTTTTTTTTAAAAAAAAGGATGAAGAAAACTTATAAGCATAGCGAATCAACAATGCCCATTGGTGTGTGTGTACAATGCACGGGGAACAATACTTTCTCCCATGCATGCATTTTAGAGTATTGTTAACTAAGTTGTTGTCCATGTTTTGCTGGGAGTCAAATTAATTTTGTTTTAACTTAAAAACTTGAATATGCAGGTGTTTTTAATGTGGTTTTTGCTGTGAAATAAAATTTTAATTGTAAATTAAAAAGTTGATGTGTGAATTTAATTAAATAAATTAAAAATTATTTATATTTATAAAAACACAAAAAAAATATTGATGATAATCAAAGACTGAAGTACAAAATTAAAAAAATACATGTAAATCAAAATATAAAATATTATAATACAATCCATAGACCTGGTGGCTTTTAATTATAAGGAAAAAACAAAAGAACTTCTCAACTTTCCAGATTAGCCTCTAGTTAAATAACATCACAAAACTTTGTTTAATTTATTTATTTTAATTAATCTCTACTAAATTTTATAATTGCTAGGTTGAGCATCTCACACATGAATTGAATTAATTAAAATTAATTAATTTATATTTAAATAAAAATAAATTAAAATAAAAAAGTGACACGCTACTGGGCCTAAATTGCCTAAACATATGGCTCGTTAAGAGAAAATGCTAGGCACGCGGGCTTTACCTCTCTTTTTTTAATACCTTCAATGAAGGCGGGTATGTACGATTGAACATTGCCTTTGATACAAATGGAGACGGGGTAGAAAAATTAGAAAGGCTTTATAAAGATAGAGGTGGAGAATTCATTCTTGTATCTCCGTTGGCATTCGTAAAAAAGCCACTAGACGACGTGTCACTTGTCCACTCCTTTCTTGCCCGTGAAGTTATACTTGACGGGGTCGTTTTCGTGTAGTGTTTTTTCTTCAGTGTTAATTGCACCCATGGAATTCATTTACAGTGATTTTTGAAGTCGCGTGAAGACTCCATACTTCGACTGAAGGTATAATCTATGAATACTTGTCCGGGAGACACCACAAGACCCCCACTCCTCCTATCCTATCCACCACCGCCATTTTATTATTTTTCCTTTTTCTCAACCACCACAAACCCCCAAGCACCACCCCACCCCCCCTGATTATTAAAGGAAGATGGCGTTCATCACTGCCACATATAGATTGAGATAAGGACGCCTTTGCATCATAAGATATTCAAAGAAAAAACACGATCAATATCGTTGAAAAATGGAAATTCGTGAACTTGGCAAGGCTATGTGAATAGATCAACGATGAAATAAACAGGCAAATATACTTCTGGAGAGTTTGAGCCAGTCAAGATCGGACATGTCATCGAACTTATAAATGCCTAAAAGAAAGCCATAATTTATTTGTTTTTGGGGTTATGGCTCTCAAGAGAATATTGATCATGATCGGGGGTACTTCTGGGCACGTGAATAAACGCTCTTTTCTTTTAGGTATTCAAGATTCTAATAATTTCTTCTTTTATTGCCTCCTTAGACTTGTTCCTAAACAATTCTTTTTAACCCCGAGCAAGATCAAAACTTTTACAGTGGAATTTTTTAGTTGGATTTAATTAGAAATTTTAATAAAATCTCCTATTTATAATTATCTTAATAATTAAATTTTAATAAATTTAATTCTTAAAAATAATAAAATATAGTTCAGAGATCACTGCAGAAAAAAAAATTGATGTTAAAACTAAAAAAACCTGTCAACTTATTATTTTTTTGAAAGAATTTTAAAAAATAAAATAAAAATAATAAGGATAATATTTCAAATAAATTGAATTAATTTTATTTAAAAATATAAAATTAATTAATTAATTAATTAAAATTAATCTAAAAAATTGATTTTAAATGATTTAACAGCGAAGTATAATATACTTTTTATTATAAAATATATTAAAATAATATTTTTTTAATTTTTAAAAATTATTTTTAATATTAACACTTTAAAATAATTTAAATTTTTCGAAAAAATAATAATTTTAAAAAATAATTTTTTTTTTAAATTACTTTTAAAAAATAATAAAAAACAGTTGAAAAGGGCGACAGTGGCATTTTTTAGCAGAATATGCTTTGCTCTACCCTGCGAGCTTCCTTTCCCTCTGCATCTCTTGTGCTTAATCCCTTATTACTTCTTCTGTCTTCTCCATTTTCTCTCCCATCAAAAAACAAAACAAAAAAAGCTCTCTCTCTTTTTATGCTTTGATAAGAGATGGAGCTTGTTAAAGAGCTGCTTGTGACTGGTGTTGTTGCTGTTTTGTTCTCTTTTCTTATAGCCAAACTTGTTTCTCTGGCTGCGTCTGGTGGTGATTCCAGCAGTAAAAATGCCAATCGAGAAGTTATTACTGCAGCAGAGATTGTCGGTGAAGAAGGAAAAGTAATCACCGAAGAGTTACGGTTCCGTGAAAGATTGCAAGTCGAGGGGGTTAAGACCGAAACTAAAACTGAATTTGTTGAACAAGCAACAGAAAAGATCGATGAATTCATCACGGAAAGCTTTGCTCTCGAGAACGTTAACGAGGCCGCGAATCGCGAGGAGATGCTGCTTGAAATCGAGGCGCGTGACTTGGCTCAAGAATTGATCGAGGCAATTTTAAGAGAAGAAGAGTACAAGTTAAAGGGAGGTGAATTTGACAATGAAGAGGTCAAACATGTAAGTTTGGCTAGTTCAATTAATGAAAACAGAGAAGATGAATCAGTTGGAATTGAAGTAGATGTTGTCGAGACTGATTCAAAAGAGAAGATGAATGAGATTGAAGTCAATGATGACGAGGATGATGATTGGGAAGGGATAGAAAGGAGTGAATTGGAGACAATGTTTGGAGAAGCAGCAAGGTTTGTTGTGGAGTCAGGAGATAAAGATGAGAGATTTGCAGGTGTAGGCAGCGATGTGCAAATGGAGTTGTATGGACTTCATAAGGTTGCCACCGAGGGGCCTTGCCTCCAGAAGCCTCCCATGGCTCTCAAGGTTTCTGCCCGTGCCAAGTGGTATTAAACTTTCCTCAATTAACTTTCCCATGTCTCCGTTTACATTGTTCTTCTTCTTCTTCTTATTTTTACTCGATTATTGTTATTCTCTTGTTTGTTAATTTGACTGAATGGGAGCAGATAAACGTTTTCCATTTAGAGAGAAGATAGGATAAGATGGTCTCCAGGTAAAATGCTTTGTTTTAATGATATGAAAAGTGAGAGTTTCCGAAATGTAGATCGAGAAATGAAAATGCCGACAAATTGAGGCAGCTTGCTCATTACAGACGTCAGCACGAACACATGGAAATCATTAGAAATCCACGCTTGGGCTGTATTATAAATGACGTTTTTTATGGCCTTTTTTGTCTGTCTGTCTCCCTCTAAGGTTAGGTCTACAATAGTTTTTCTTGCTTAAAAAATAAATATAAAAGAAGGTTAATGTTGTTAAAACATAGCTAGTTATTCAAAGAGAATTTTACTCCACCTTTCTAAGGTAAGAAATTTTGTTATATCTTGAGAGATACCAAATCAATAAATTTAGATTTTGGAGGGAATATTTGGATGGAAAGCCAAAATTTATATATTATTATTTTTTAAATTAATTAATTTAGGTTAATTAATTAAATTTTCAGAATTAATTAATTTAATAATTATTCATGACACCTCTTGTCAAGTTATTCAAATAATTTGGATGAAGAGTTACTTTTTAAACTCTCTATATATATATTGATCTGAAGAAATATAACTTTAAATTGTATAATAGATATATTGGTTTGAAAAGATATACCTCTAAATTTTATAAACATATTGGTATGAAAATGTTTATTTTATTTAGAAATATCAGTTTGATGTTGGCAGAAATAGATTAGAAACAATCATTTTCTCTTCCTGATTTTTTTTTCACTAACTTTATGTTTACATTTACTAGAAATAAACAAAGCTTTTTAATAAATTTATAGAAGTTAGTCTATAAATATAAGGTTTTACTTTATCTTGAAGTTATATTGCTTCAACCCTACAACAAACAAATATAATGAAGTCAATTAATATTTTAAAAATAATGATTCACGCTTCAAATCTTGTTTGCTGTACCCTGGACCTTTTCCTGGTATGTTCCAGCTGCTTAGATATAGCCAAAAATCCAGACAGCTTAGCAAACAAAATACAAGATTATGGCGGTCATCGCCTGTAATCTTTTTCTAGGTGGACTGTTAACCTAAGAAAAAGAAAATGAATGCACAGAACAACACCTTAGGGGCTGCCTGTACCAAGAAGTTACTCCGTATAGTTTGATAGCTAGTTATAATAACAGGGTTGACAGCTGCTATGTATGAGTGATCGAGGGCACTGGTTACGTTGTGCAAGGAATGCTTGGCAAAGGCTGGGAAACACGAGTCCAGAGGCAGCTATGGAGCAGTATATTGTCCTTGTATCTGATAGAGCCCCAGGGTGGATGGAAGACAAAGCTGGTGTAGGTATTTTCCATTGCAGCGTTCTGTTTCCTATAATGACTTTGACTGAAAAGAGTCTCTGGTTAATTTCACTTTACAGGGAGACAATAAACCAGGATCATCTGAAGTGACAAATCCTGTTGCTGTAACTCCAGATTTAAGTACATTTTCATCCCGGCAACCAGATTGTGCAGGAGCAATGTATGTCCTAAATGTTTGGCTATTATGATTTTCCCCCTCAATCATTTATTTGTTAGTCTTTGTTTTTTCCTGAGCTTATTATTATAACATGATAATATCACTGTGTCCTCGTGTAGGACATGTAAGAATCAAGAACCGAAGCTTGTTGCTGAAGAAAGGGATTTGACTGGGGCCTCAAACTGGATAACAGGGTATAAATCGTTAATTCATGCATATTGCATTTTCTTCCATTTGCCTTTTTCTCCTAAGTTGTTGCAGGAACTTGCCGGTTCCTGAAAGGCTTTGAACTGAATGTTGTTAGTTTCACAGGACAATATGACTAGGCCTGGGGGTAGCTCAGGTGTAGGGGTACGGGAGTTTGGGTTGGGATTTTAGGTTGTTGACTTGGGGTTTTCCGTTGTACCAAATAGAAGAAAAATGTTGGTGGTTGCTGTCTAATTTGAATAATCCTTACTGGAATGTCTTTCTTCAATCATGATTGAATTCAACGAGGTTGAGAAGAAATCCCTTCAAAGAATATGTTGCACTGTCGAAAAAGAAACCACAGGCATCACACTATAAATATAAAAGATTTTTGGTATAATGGGTGGATGATGACCATTCTTTGCATCATCACATTCTTATGAGAAAACTTGTTTCTGCCACTTATTGAAATCAATTCTAATAAGATTCTTACCTAGCTTTCTTCTGCAACTTGACAATCACTAGCGACAATCTATTGGGAATCTGCCATCCATGATTTGAGTCATATTCTTGAGCATTTCTCTAATGAATTTTCATTTTAGTCGTCACTCATTTCTTTCTTATTGAAAGGTCTTACTACCAATGATCCCAATATACAAGCCACAGGGCTTACACGTAACCAATTTAATATGAAAATTTTCAGGCCGAAGAATGACAAGCATTGCTCTGCTGCTTGAAATCTCCAACCATGGAACCCTTCTCCTTTGGCTGAACCACAAACAAGACTAAATCTTGTTGCTAAGTATAATCTTTGCTTCAATTATGTAAGGTTCTTGCCTGTTTATGCTATAATTAATATGTCCTTGGAAGTGAACTATGCATTGTATGATACTAATAACGTGGGTGTGCAGTGCATTGTTGAATTTGTATATATACAACGTGTATGTATGTCCCATGATTCATCGCCCAGCTGGTTGGGATCATTGAATTATAATATGATGTTAATGCACCATTCTTCCTGAAGCATATTTGAGCATGCTTATGCTAGTCTTTCCGGGTAATTGTCCCTACTCCTTTTTAATTCTAATCCCTGAAAAAATGTGAAGCGATGTTGGGATTACGTGAAAGAATGTGTTACAAGACTTGCGCACTAATTAAGCGATTGCTGTTTGTCAAATACTTGTTACGATTATACATTCACATGCAAGTAAAGTGCTCCTTGCGTTTGGAATTGTTGGGAGGGAAAGTAGTTGTCTATAGTCCCTGTTTTTCTTCGCAAGTTAAAGTCTCCCTTTTTTTCTTTTTCCTATTTCCTTAGCATTTGCACTCCAATAGTATGGGGCATCCCTTGACGCTGATTCGGATATAGATGAGACAGGGTGGATGATATTTTGCACTTGGAGTTTAGATATGTTTAACCGAGTGAAGTTTTCTCTCTCTTTTTGGCTGTTCAGCTGAAGAAAGTAGAGAAAAATTAACCAGTCAAATAATTTGCAGAAAGTCATGGTTGCTGGTATGGTAAGTTACATGACAAGACCATTTGACTGCCTTGTGAGCTCGTGATTTTGGGTTCACCGAGGTTGTCGCAAGGGCCCTTAGATTTTAATTTCCCGTTCTTTGGAGGTGGACAATAAATTTGAATTCGTTACCAAGTAATTCTGGAACGAGTTATAAGCAAATCTCAGAATGTGGTAAGCGTGGCCAAGTGTTAGGGATGGCTTCCATGCCTGACTGTTTTATCGCATTTCTTTTTTGGTGGCCATGGATGCCTCCAGCACTGATTAATGTAAACGACTGCTCTTTATTAGAGCATGCTGCCTCACTAAGATAGAGAATACATTTAAAGCAAATTTTGGAGAAATGTTATCCTTATTGCGATACTAGAAAAATTAGTAATTCTTATTTGGTGAAACATGGCATATTAAGATCGTTTTTCTGACACAGAACCAGTGCTATGGACATTGTTGTGATCATAGGCCCCGCCGTCCTGGTACCTATGCTGCCACCATAACCCGAGCCATACCTCCACCATTACCACGCCAGCGAAACCCACCTTCAAAGTGGCCATCCCCTCCAACGCCACCCCAGCTAACACCACCACCTTGGGCCCACAGCATTCCCATTGGCTTTGACGTAGCCTCCACCTCCACTACCCGGCCCATAGCCATTATCACTACCATAGCTACGTTTTTCTTGAAACAAATAAGGCTTAAGTTTTCCCTACCCCACTCTTAAATTCCTGCTCGCAAGTTTTTAACCATATGATATGTAAATATTTTCCCGGTCACGCACCATATATTTCAGAATTTTTGTCCATAGAAGTTAACCAGGTTATTTTTCACGCTATCGCTATAGCTTGGATAAAAGAAATAGTATTTAGAGTATTATTATTAAATTTGGCATAAAAAAATTCACAATTCAACTTTTTATTTAACTTGAGTTTTAATAAAATCAAGGGAGAATTGCCTCAACATGATTTTATCAATTAAAAAGGTTTTTAAAAAAAACATAACAGATTAATTCTACTTAAGCCATTAAATTCATTACGTGAGTTATAAATTTCATTAAATTGAAAAAAAAAAAATTATTATATAATAAAAATATTAATAATTAATTTAATATTAAATAATAAAATTTTAAAACCCAACATTAAAATATGAAAAGGCAGGTTATCCAACCTTTTCTTTTTAAGTAAATATACAAAGGATTACCCATGTCCTGCGTAAGAGATAACATAATTCCTAGTACTACATGAACATGCGACTTTTGACTAATTAAAGACACATATTAACCAATTGAGCTACGAGATAAAGTTGTTAATGGTCATTGTATTTTTAAAATTCTATTTTTGTGCCTCAGTCCATATTTAAAAAAAGCCAAAGACAGTTGTAATAACTTTAGATTTGACATAATACTAAATTTAAATAATATAAGTATAGCTTGCTTTCAGACTCGATATTTTTTAGCTCAACTACATATCATGTCCGAATACATATAAATTTGATAAATTATTAGATGTAATATCTTTTGCTTCAGCTATATGCTGAGCCTAATTATATATGAGTTTGGCGAGTTGTCATACCCAACGTCATTAATTCCAGCCACAAGCTAATCTTAAATATACATGGATCTGGTGAGTTGTCATATCTAATATTATTGAGTTTAGCTACATACTAAACTTAAACAAATATGAGATTAGTGAGTTGTCATACTCAACATCCTTGGATTCAGATATGCGTTTAGCTCAAATACAAACAGGCTTGATGAGTTGCTAGACCAATCATCCATAGGTTTAGCTATGTACTAAACTCAAATACATATACGTTTTGCTAATTGATAGGTTTAACGATATTGAGTTCATAACGTGGTAAGTCCAAATAGACATGGATCTGGTGAGATGCCACACTCAATATTTTTGGATTCAATTGCGCATTGAGCTTAGGTATATATGGGTCTAGTGAATTGCCAGACCTAATGATCTTGGGTTCAACTACATGTTGAGCCAAAATAAATACAAGTCTGGCGAGGTATTAGACTCAATATCATTGAGTTCAGCTGCATCCTGAATTAAAGTACATGTAGGCTTGACAAGATATCAGATCCAATATCGTTAAATTCAGTTATGTACCAAACCAAAAAAGATATATATATATATATATATATATAACTATTTATCAGACCCGTCGTTTAGTGTTGCACTATAAAACTTTGTTTGTTTATTTTTATGATTTTTAAACATAAAATATTTATATCTAGAATAATTATCTTTTTATGTTTTTAGAAGTATAAAAATCTTGAAAGGACCTACCATATTTTCATCAATATTAACATATTATATAAATGATATTTGTTTCTCGTTAATATTATCTAGAAGATACTTATATCTTATTAATACTATCAGGAGTAAATAATATTACAACTTCTCCATTCAAGTAACATTACAATATTTAAGGGCTATATATACCTTTTAAATCATCCAGATAAAAATTTATAATTTTTATTTTTTAAGTATTTATACTTTAATTATCAAAGCATTAATCATTAAAAAACAAAATCAAACACTCTTGTTTTTTAAATTTTAAATTTATTTTTTATTTATTGTAGTTTTTTACTAAAAAATAATTAATTTTACCATTCAAGAGTTTCTAAATCCCATAAAAAAATTATTTTACAGATATTAAATTTTCTATCACCATCTACTTTCCAAGTTTCAGAGAAAATAATATTAACATGAATATATAATTATCCATTATTCAAACACTAAATTATAAGACAATTAAAATATGTATATTAACCTAGTTCAATGTACCATGCTATTTAGTTTTGTTAATTATTTCTCGCAAGATGACGATGGCAGTCGCGTTGGAGGGTGGATTAAATTATTGGAGGGCTCAAATTATAAACATCATAAAGCTTTAGAAACATCATAAAGTATTTTGAGAACTTTTTGCAGGCCAGTAATAATTTTTAAGGGTCTAGCTTGAAAGCATGCTGAGACTAACGTAGTTTTTTTTTATAGTGTGGCAAGCCACAGCTTTATGGAGCTCTACGTTTAACGGCTCAGATAGAGCCACTCATGAAGATATCTTAATGTCAATGAAGATTAAATTAAGATGTACGGAGATATGATTAAAAAGTTAATCTTTCATGTTATGACTTAATCTCTTGCATGGTCTATAAGTAAGAGCAACGTTTTGTATTTAGGGATAATTGCATTATTAATACACCAATGTTATCCCTTTTTTTCAGTTAAGGACTTGAACTTTAATTTTTTCATTTGAGGACATCAATTTTATGAAAATCTTCAATCAGGTATTTGCATCCACCCCCCTCAATTTCTTATCTATTCGATAAAGTGTCATTTATCCTTAAATCTCTCTTGATAGAATCATTAAACCACACCCAACCACTGATTCTTTCCATTAATTTCTTCTTCTCTCTCTATCTTCCCTATCCCTTTTGTTTCTATGTGTCTGCCGACTAAAATGGTGATAACAGGAATTTGATTGGATACCACCATGGAAGAGAAGAAGAGGCATGAAGGGGCAAATGGTCCTTTGGTCACATTGTTTTCGCATATTAATTATTCGGTAGTGACACCAACTCCCACAAAACCCAAAGAGTGAGGGGGGGAATTGACTAGATTTATCGATGCTCATATAAGGTTTTTTTTAATAACATAGTGATTAAGAAATATACTCAAAATAACGTGGTTATATTTCTCAAAGTAATATATAGTTTCACGAGAGGCGCAGGCGCGTGACCGACCGCAAAAGCTGGAAAATGGCCTCTGTTACTGTAGTTATAAGGTCGTGACGCGCTTCTCGCTTGATCGCGCATGAACCACCGGCATGTCTTCTGTAACTGTGCCATTTTAAAAAATAAGCTTTCAACTATGATATTTTGGATATATATTCTTAGTCAATGTGTTATTTTTGAAAAATACACTCCATGCTCACTGCATTCTTACAAATTGTAAGATAATAAGTACTCCTACTTTAGCAACATTAATAAGAAAAATAAAACTAATAGAGATCAATGTTGTTTTATTGAAACTTCGAAGAGCTTTCACAATGAAATTTATTTATTTATTTTTTGTTCAATTTATTATTTTTATTTGATTCTTTAATGTTGTAATTTTTATTTGATTCTTTAATGTTATATTGATTAAAAATTAAATTTGATGATTTATTTTTTATATATGAGTATAGAGATTTCACAATGTTGGGGATTTTTTTACTTGATTGATGCTTAATTTAATAAAATAAAATTTAATTTTATTAATTTAAAAGAATTAAAGTTTCACTAATCACGCTAATATAAAGGATTGATTTGTATTACCTCTGCTAAAAAATTCATCTTGAAATAATAGTTATAAAGTACTATAATTGACAACTATTTTTAACCTGATTTTTCAACAGAAAAAAATCATTACAATATCAAAAGCATATTTATTGTGAATGATTTTATATCATAGTTAAATAAAAGGAGTTTATTAGAAGCGGTTGGGAGGTGGCTATATTTAC